ATGTATGCCTGAAACTGTAGCCACTAACAGACCCATTATCCAGTCCCCAGATGATACATGAGTGAATATGGAGCAGCAGTGGAATGATGTAAACAAGAGAAACTAAAAAATTTAGAGAAAAACCTGTCCTATTATCACTTTGTCCAACACAAATCCCACATGAATTGCTGTGGAGATGAACCTGGGCCTCTGCACTGAGAAGCCAATGACTAAGCACCTGAGCTATGACTCAGTTGCTAAGACATCATAACCATCTCTTCCCCATGGCACATTGTCCTATAATATATTTTCTTCCATTCTTCTCTATCCAGCTATAAGCTTGCATATACATCCACTTTTTCCATACTCAATTTTGTATATCTTTCCTCATATGGTCTCTTCACTTTGTATTTGTCTTTCCAGCAGCCACCTGACATGCCCATTTCTGATGTTCTCAAAGGAATCCTATCAACCATACAAAACTAATCCATATCAAACTGTATTCTATTTTCAGATCTTATATAATGTTCTTGTTTTGGATATTATCCCTTTTTGTTCTTTTCTTGGTAGTTTCTAAAAGTGAAATTCAAAATATAATTACATTAAATTAATTTCTGTTCAAAGAGAAAAAATGTATGACACTTAAAGTAACTGATCTCAGAACATCAGGATGATGAATATTTAGTGGTGGAATAACGTCTTGGTGCAACAGTAATACTACACCTCCAATTTTAGCTTGGCTTATGCAGTATCTTTGTTTATGTGACCAAACAGTTTCAATCTATAAAAAAGAAAACTGTTTTTTAACACAAAATGAATAAGCACGTATGCAAAAGGCAGTAGAATGTGTAAAGCAATCAGCAACATTAACGGAGTGTAGATATAAAAACAGTGCCACATTGCAAACTGCTCAGCTCTAACAAAATATAAAAAGTTCATACAAAAGGGATACCCAGGCTCGCCACTATAGTTTGGATTCCACATTAATCTGTGGGTCCCCTCCTCACCTTCAACATCATCCAACTAACTGCACATAGTAAAGTCCTTCTTGAGAACTGATAGTCATTGAGGTAATCAATAATCAAGGCATTTCCTATCTTTTATAGAACCCAAAGGCTTTGAAGAGCTTGCCAGTGAGCTGTAATGTGAGACAGACAAATACAGTACATGCCAAATTTCTAGAAGACCCATTCTTTTATTACACTCCCACTTATGACTATATTTCCAAAGTGAACTATTCCCTTCACATTTTTTAGCAAAAATGTCATGTGCATTTCTCACCTCCCTCATACTACAGTTCTCATCCTCCTTCATTCAACCACTTTGATAATATTTGGTCAAGGATATAAATTATGATCATTATACAATAATTTTATCTTCATCTTTCTATTACCTCTTCTCCCTTTGGTTCAAACACCATTCTACCATCAACAGAAAAACTGAAATCCTGCCTCATAGATTTAACTGTCTGAAATGAGTATTCTCCTGTCAGGTGAGTAAAAGCCAGGATCATCCAACCATACCTGAAACTATATCTGGAGATATAAGCTACAGCATAATGTAGGTTGTATGATACCGTTCACATACCTAATTTACACGTTGAGCATACTGATTTCATCCCTATATTGCTAAAGTATGATTTTGACTTGTTCACATGATGAAGACTCCAGCCACTATGCTCACTATGTGTTTGCTGCATTGGATCAGGAACAGTCTGGGACAATCACATTCAGAGATTTTATGCTTGGACTCTCCATTGTAATGAAAGGAACCTTACAAGAGAGACTACGATGGGCCTTCTCGTGAGTAAATTTGTATTCAAATTAAGAACATGCAATACATGCAAGACAGATACAAAAACTTACCATGCTACAAATTATTTACATACTGTAGAAGACACAAGGACCAATTTTTTAATTAACAAACTGGTCGTTTTCCCTGTTAAAGTATACTTTTGTTGTGGGGAAATTTATTGCCTTTCCTTGACACTTAAGAGCTAAATATCCTCTAAAGCAAACACCAAATTTAAAAGGAAATAATTTTTTCCTGTTAAAAATTTTGGCATGGAAAGCACTAACACAGCTGTCTTGGTTTGACTCTCAATTCGCTTCCATACCATACAAAAGTCAAGTAAAACTAAAGCTGTCCCACTATACAACATGTAGGCTTTGGGAGGAGAGGTAGTATAGCAATTACTTATTCTTAACCTCGACGGTAGGTGGGTGTAAGTGGTTAGCGTCACACCCCGGCCGCGCATTACCCCTGAGAAAGACCCTGATACCCAATGTATAGGAGGCTGGGTGAGCCGCAGAGCCAGTCTAGGTGCAGCTTATGTTATAAATATAATGGCTTCACTATATCATATTGTTTTAATAGATATTGGGTTCAATTGTCCAGTTAAAAAATTTGATCACCTGTAAAAATTACAAAATAAAAGTAATGGTTCAATGTTTGGCAAATCTGTATCAAAGTCAGGTTTCTATAGCTTAAATTTCCCCAGGCTAAATGTCCCTTACTTTGTTCTGAAGCCACTTTAAATTTTATATTACTCAAATGCCTAAAAGTAGGAAGCAAATACTGTAAAAACCATATTTTGATTAAAATTTATATTTTGGTTATTTTATGTTTAAAATTTATAAAACAAATGCAGATTAAAAATCACTAATCATTCTCCCCCACATGCATTTTATCACTAAAACTACACTCTATTACCAATAAATAATCACCTGTTCCTTATGTTGTTATCTGGATATATATACTTTCCATGTGAGTAGCCAAAGACTGACATATATGCAGCTTTATTCGTAAACCATGTATTTTTGTTTTTATGTACTGCACAGCCTTCCTTTCAAGTGCACTTAGACTTACATCAACACAGAGGTATTCAAATGAGTAAAACCATCCCGTTATAATCACAAAATTTAAAATATCACACCTTTCAAAATTTATCTCCAATCTATTCGTCATTATACAAAAGTTGAGCAGTCTGGGTACTGGAAAGAATCTGTCTCTTGACATACATACTTACCAACAAAATATTTTGAATATGTAAGTATTTATTTTAACTAATATTCTTTCAAAGTGAAGCTTATTTCTAGCCATCCATATCAAGAAAGCAATTATTTTTAGTTGTATTTGTCCACTTTTTCCGATGGAAAAGTAAGCTGTTTTTTGTAATATTTTGAAATGATTGGAAGTGTATACCTACTGGTCTCTATGGTAAGAACATCAGTAATAGCAATCAGGAAGCATGGCCCACTTCAGTTAAGTCTTCAGTACGTATACCAAGTTAAACACCTGAGTGTGAGTTAACTTGTGAACTGTCTGATATATAGTCATGTTATTATTCCAAATTAGCTCAGAAAGCAAGGTATTCTCATTTTCCTAAAAGCCTCCATTTCATTGGCTGGATTATAACCTCAAAACACAGAAGTAATTTCTATCAATTTATCTTTTTTATTAATATCTGAATATGAATGTGTCCAAGTGTTCTTTATCACTTACCTTGAATGGACATTTCTGTATAATTTCATTCAGTTCATCAACTGTGAATTTGAAGCATGGATCATGCTTATCACATGCATGTGTACCTGGTTCAGCCCCATGATATATATTGGGATTTCCCTTGACATTTATTATAAGGAGCTGTGGTCTTGTAAGCCAAATAATATGATTAGCAAAATTATCTAAATATTATGAACATGTCACAAGCATACAAGTCATGTCATATACAGAGTGGGTGGGAAGTAAGTAGGCATTGAGAAATGGTTATAACTTCTATATTTCCAATGCAAAGATATTATTTAATGCCTACTTACTTCCCACTCATCCTGTAGAGTTCTTACAGGGCTCTCAGATGAAATGTGTATGCTCAACAAGAAGCTGTCAAGATTCACCATCACCACAGTCCTGAAGCGATAAGATTGAATATTAGATTTGTTTTCTCATGGGGCATAATTTTAAATGGACAAAATTCATATGCCCACATCATGTAATCTTTCATCTTGAATGTGTTTTTTCAGCAATTAACTGCACTGGAAATGTAATTCCTAACCTGGAAGCTACATGCAATACCATTTCACAAAACTGAATGTGGGTAACACATTTTAGTTACAACCTGTAGGATCAAATTTAATAAAATTCATGATGCATCACTTTTGATAGCGTACAACCCAAATACTTAACGGAGGGTACCGAGTTCTATCCAGTTCATTCCTGCATACCTATACAAGAACAGGAGTGCAATTTGTTCACAATGCAAAGAACAAATGTAGAGTGCGGAGAGGTTAACACAATGATACATTAACTGAACTCTGTAAATATAAAAGACCTATTAGTGTTTCACACTGAGTAAATAACAAGGGGTTTCAAAACGAACTGAAAGCCTCCTTTCCTAAGGCACAGATTTTGTCTCACTTGTGCACAATCACATGATCAGCACCAACTTTGGTCACATTTTTTATATTTACCTGCAACTGTAAATACATCAGATACTATTAATACTATCATCATCATTTTATTTTCTACCACAATATTAAATTTAATGAGCCATGTCCAATAGTTTATTACTTATCATTGTCAAACTGAAAGTTAGAGAATTTTTTTATATTTTACAAAGAAATTATCTAAACAAATGTTGTATATTTTTCAAAGATCTATTACCATGCATCATTTCAGAATCCTATATTAGCCCTTTAAAGCTGAATTTCGTGCAAACAATATTTAAAGATACTGTCCATACCACAAAGTAAGCATCACCTGTCACATTTACAAAGATCAAAATATGAATATTGTTCACAGAAATAATTCCTGTTTACAGCAACAATCATACAAAAACTCATAAATAAAAAATTCTACTTTCATATAGTTACCACTAGGCTCTATAAGACTTAGTAATGCTAATGTCACAAGTCTGCACATTTACCATATTACTACTTTATACTGATTGTAGAAATTAAATAAGTATGAGGTTGGGGTGGTTTCCAGTGATATAATGGTAACCAGGTTTCATGAGAAAACAGGTATAGTGGTACAAAAGATTAAAGGGAGAACACAGCCAGCTCTCATTAACAAAGAAAAGTGGGCTAAATGGGCAAGTCTGTCACATGGTGATACTTGGGCAGCCATTTTAAACGTGTCACAGGATGACCATAGCCATCTTCTGGGTTGCGACACCATGTAGATTTCATGGTGTCTATGAGCAGAGAGACATCTGTTGCTTAATATGCTGCCTGTACTAAACAAAATAAAAGACAATTACAGTCCACAGTTAAACAAGAGCAATGGCTGTGGCAGTAAAAAATCTAGTCACATAGTAAAAATCCTGAATGATTACTGTAATATAGCTCAGGGTAATTAAATACTGTTTCCAAGCAGGTTTATATTACATTGACAATATTTCTCCTTCCAGTTGCCAATACTGATACTAAAGCCTAATTTATGCTAGGAAAGTTTACTTGAAGAAAAGTGGCTGAAGCCATTAGCCTCACACAGTGCATTTTCATTATGTTTTGCTTTGCCTCACTAACTCAATTATTGCCAAGCAACAGTCATGATGAAGTACTTAAACTGTATATAAGTGTTAGAGGTTCTGATATACATTTTCTCATGAATATGAAACAATCCTGAACTGCCACTACAACACAGGTTAACTGTCAGAATATCGGATGGAGGCATGTTTACAAAAAATTAACATTTAGGTTAATAACAAATCTTGGGCACTATTTCAATCTTCATGCCTCTTCAATCATAATGGCACAGGATTCCAGTTGAATTATACAATCAGCCTCTTAAGTGTTGCATGTGCACACTTCATAAATGAACAAGGCATTTAAGCTGCTTCTGTTGAATAAACTAATTTACATTGGCTTCATATATGAAATGTAAAAAACACTAATTTTACTGTTTTGGCAAGCATATAGTAAACAATAGGGTTATAAATTATAGCTGGTGATTATTGTGTATGTCAGCATAATAATTAAGGAACAGATTTCTAGGCAAAAAAGAACTTTCTTTGCAGTTTTTCATGCTAAAAAAAATCAAAGTTAACATTCATGTTACTAACATTATTACTTACACACTATTATTATTGACAACATAAGCAGAGCATCAAAAGTATACTAGATGACACTAGTTGCAAACACCCTCTAACTGCACTAACTAGTGTGCACAACACTGTCTTGTACTGCTCAACTGATAACTGTTTACCATTACTGCAACTGAATGTGACACATCAGCTATTGGCATATGCTGATTATGTTAACTTATTGGGAGACGATATAAATACAATAAAGAGGAACAAAGAAGTTTTAGTAGAAGCTAGTAGAAAGGTTGGCCCAGAAATAAATTAAAAAAAAACTAAGTACGTGTTAGTATCCCATCAGTAGACAGGTGGGCAAAATCATATTATGGTGGCTAATAAATCCTTGGAAAGTGTGGCAAAGTTAAAATATTTGGGAAAAACAATAACAAAACAAAATTATATTCACAAGGAAAGTAGGAGGAGACTAAATTCTGGAAATGCTTGCGACGTTTCAATACAAAATATTTTGTCTTCCTGTGTGATATCTAAGAACCTAAAAATTAAAATATACAAAACAACAATTTTGTCTGTTATTTTGTATGGGTGTGAAACATGGTCTCTCACTCAGAGGGAGGAACACAGATTGCAGGTGTTTCAGAATAGGGTGTTGAGGAGGATATTTGGGCCTAGGAGAGGAAAAGATGGGACATGAAGTAAACTGCATAATGATGAGTTTAAAAATTTGTACTCCTCCTCCAGTATTGTCAGTATGATTAAGTCAAGAAGAATGAGATGGGTGGGTCATGTGGCATGCATGGATGGGCAAGAGGTGTGCATCAGGTATTGGTCAGGAAGCCTGAAGGGAGGCCTAGACATAGATGGGAGAATAATAGTAGGTGGAATGTATGGGAGACAGGAGTTCAAGCCAGTTGGATTTTGCTGGCCCAGGACAGGGACCAGTGGAGGGCTTTGGTTAATTTGGTGATGGACCTTTGGGTTCCCTAAGCCAGCTAGTTAGTTAGTTAGTTAACCCTTGCCAGTCTTCATCCATACATCAGACAGGCCTCAGACATTGCAGGCTGATGATCACTGTCTGTCACCATCTGGTACACTTCTGATGCTCTGTTTGTTTACAATGTATCAATTACAATAGCATTCATCACCACAGTGTGGAAGGCAGTTTGATGTATAATCAGTCATTGAATGTGTATGACTACTACTTAAGCTCGCAAGGAGCTTTGTCTATCAAATTCCAACATGTAAGAAGGGCCCTAACTTAAAAACAAAAGTTATGTGGACTTATGTTTATACAAATGTTTTAAATTGTTTTTGGATATACAACTCATCACTAAAATGTGTATGTCTAATATAAAATCACTGTTTATTGTATAAATTTAGTGCAATGTGGTGACTGAGAACAACAAAAATATGTGGCTATTTTTCTTTTGTTTCTCATATGAATAGTCAAACTTACATGCAAACTATTGGCAGATTTGGAAAAAAAGGGAAAAACTGTTACTGAAATTTATAACATTTATGGAGTATTATGAACCTTTGAAACAAATTATTTATTCTTGTACCTATAATAAATGAACACCATAGCACAACAAAGGCAGGAAAAATCACTAATGACATATTCCAGCCTTGTTACATCTTTACAGATGTGATATAGATCTTAAAGGAATTATGCTTTCGCACACAACGTTACACATTTAATTAACAAACTCATGACAGTGTTTTTCTTGAGAAACTGAAGACTCATTACTGTGTTCACAAGAGCCTACTACTATTCCTTATTGTTAGCCAAATCGATTCAGTCTACACCTTCCAACCTTGTTTCCTTAAAATCCATTCTAATATTATCATCCCATCAAAACCTATGCTTTCCCAGTGGTCTCTTCCCTTAACAATTTCCAACTAAAATTTTATATGTATTTTTGATCACTTCCACTTTGTGTGTGCTATATGCCCTACCCACCTTATTCTCCCTTCATTTTATCATCCTAAAATATTTAGCGAAGAATAATACAAATTATGGAGGGCTTCATAAAACATTTTTTCTTTCCAGTCTGTATGATGTAAATCATGATGGGTATATTACAAAAGCAGAAATGCTTGCTGTCACTTCTGCCATATACAACCTGCTCGGAGACAGTGGCAATGCAGCTGATCACTGTCCACAGTCACATGTAAATATGATATTTAAGGTATACAGACATTCTCTGCCTTTTTCTGTAATACACATAGATATTTAAGTGTACTCACAAATGCATTTATCTCTCACATCAGAAGCACAAGCATGACATAACAATAATCTTTAAGCTATAAAAACGCTATGGACCAGTAACAGAGTAGGAGGAAATCCTGATACCATTATTCGAGAGTGACAGCAAGTAAGCAATGGTGGCCATGTTCAGACAAAACAAGCTAAATCATTAAATTTTGTGAGGCCTTGCAACTACTGCAACACCATGTGGACCTAGTATTCTCTGTCTCTTGCTTGAATTAATTAGACACCTCAAGAACTAAGTCTCTTGCTTATCTGAGAAAACTGTTGAGTAATTTCTTGGCCTTCTATTTCCAAGTCAGTTCAGTAAGTGATAAATACTGTATTTACCCATTTATTTTCAAATAGATCCATTTTGTGTTTTTTACCAACAAAAACAGATTAAGCACCTCACAGACTTACAAAATAATACAAAATTACAATTTACACAAATGAACTAATTCCATGGATCAGAGCCCTTCAAGAGAAGCTACCAGTAGGTTAGCTAGTCAAAGATGTTCCTGTGTACTGTGTTCACAAGCCCTTGCCACTGGTCCGTTTAACATTATCCCCCTACTTATATCTAGGTCTTCCAAGTGATCTTAGCAGCAACATTCAGATTTTCTGACCAGCATAATACAAGATATTATTTCAAGTAGTATTCTTTAGTTTTGAACAATATTAATTACAGCCTCAAATAATAAATAGAGATTATCATCTTTGCCCGTCAACATGTAAATAGGAACATGTAATTTAGACATTTTCAAAACCAAAACTACAGGACTGCACAAAATACATTAATGCACCATACACCTGAATTAAATTGTAATGACTGGTTTAGATTTAAAGCATAAGTGAGTGTACAGTACAAACTTTGGTGAGATCAGACATCCTGAGTGTGGGTTTTCCTCTGTTTTACACATATACAGTGAAACCTCTATCCATCATTCCCTTAACTATCTTCTTCCCGGATGCATAGTCTGGTTTGTTCGGTCCCTGATAATTTCAGTATAAAATAATGTTATATTTTCTCGTTTCTAGCGTTCCTCGAATTGCCGTTTATCGCATCAACCGTACAAAAATCTTTGTCCTGGCCCACAATTTTCCCGCACTGATCGTTTCTGAGAAATTATAACGAAATTTACGCAGTGTTTTTAGAATTTAAAATGACTGATTTAGAGATAATCAATATCTCGAGACGCGCAGCGAGCTTGCCACATGCGGGGTCGACACTATTGATGAGTTGCGAGACGATCGCGAAAGAAGCGGAAGCATTGAGGAAACAGAAGACGAATGCGAGCCCGAAGAAGGGCAGAATTTTGATGACGCACATGATGTATTGATGTAAAAGTTAATTCTTTCTTTTATGCGCACAATATTTGTGAAGATGATGAGGACAACTTTTTGAATACGGAAAGGGATCTGTTTTGCCTAAAACGTAAAGTTATCCATTAGAAACATTTTGGCAAACAGAAGTAACTTTGAAATAGGTTTTGTGTGTTTTGTTTTGTGTATACCAAAGAGAAAAATGCACTATTTTAATTATTTCTCATTTTTAATGCTTTCTCGCAACTGTCGTTTTCCCGTATTCATCGTTTTTATTTCTCTCCCCCGTCAAAAACGATGCATCGAGGTTTCACTGTACTAGAATAGCACCTTAAAATGTCACAACCACATCCCTCCAACTATCGGCTCATAATCTTATTATGATTCTGTGCAACATAACCAGCGTAGTTAGTACAACATTATTAAATAAAGAAACAAACATCAAAAACATCATTTCTTTTTTATTTATATTGCAGAAGCTGGATTTGAATAATGATGGTGTCATCACAATTGATGAATTCATTAACTACTGCTCTAAGGTACGTAAGTTCTATGCAGCTTTACAAAATTATATTACACATCTGGTTATGTGTAAGGAGCAAATGCAGACACAGGGCAGGCAGCTAAAGTCAAAATACTGGTTTCATATTTGCCACAAAGCAAGATGATGCTTAAATTGTTGTTTCATGCAATATCTCTATTTCTTACATCAGAAGAAGCTGCTAGGATATCAGTAAAGAAATACAATATTCATACAATGATCAGTGATCATGTTACAGTAATGATCGATAGTTAGCTGTGATCAAAGGCATTCAGAATTATGTAAATCATTTGTTATAATCAGCTTATAGCAAAACAGGCTTTCTGCACATTGCACCAGTCTTGTCCATCATATCAACTCTACTGATATCCTGAATTAAGAATCATTCATACAATTGCATGTGGTAGTTTTCTTCAACCTCAGGATTTCATTCAATCACTAATCCAGTGTAATAAAAATATTTTTGTATTAGCTGAAGTTTGAATTAATGGTATCAAAGGCAAAATTCCCAACTTTTCTATATGCTGTCAATGTTGAATTGCATTTACCACACAATATATTGCTTGGTCCAACTGACTTTCAAGGAAAACTATTAATGTGGTTCTATTATTCTTTTGCAGGATGAAAACATTTGTAATTCATTTGCCATTTTTGATGATCTTTGGTAAAAGGACATACTATGCATTATAGCAAACCAAGATGAATGAGTACTTTCCATATATCGCGACTAAATCCAATGCAAAACCCCTGTCTACACACGATGGAACTTCATGAGATTCCAGTAAACAAAATTAAGTTTACTGTTTCCACAAACTGTGGTACTTGCAAGCCTGCTCATATCTTACATGTCACATTAAGAACAACTGAAAATAAAGTACATACAGAGAAGTGTTTTCTGGTAACAATTTCCAAAATCAGGACTATGATGCTGTGCCAGTTGAATCCACTGTATTCTGATACTGTCAGAACACATAATTTGAATATACTTTATACACTGTTTCAGCACATTAAATGAAGAAAAGAAACATTAATTCTACTACATTCTATGTCAAAAACATCAATGGGTAAAGTATCACCCATTAACTATTTTAAGATAATTTTACCTGGACTCAATAGTGAGAATCATTTCCTAGAATTCTTGAGCAATATTTCATCTGCATAAGTGGGCTAACCCATAGATATGTGGGACCGTGGTGGTGATATGGAAGTGAAAAACATTAACAATGCCCATGTCAGATTAAAACTCATTACTCTTGTGTCCACTCAGAAAAAGACCATGCCTATGCAGCCACTACAATTAACATGTCCATCTTATCCTTCCACTGGGGTGGGTTTATGCCCATGCTCTCTTCTGCACAGCTGCTCTTGAGTTGCCAACAAAGGTCATATGTCACTGACCAGAAGATTCCAGAACACTGTTCAACGAAGTTCAAGATACATGCACATCCTGGTTAATGTAATGACATGGCCAGCCATCTGTCAACACCAGAAGCCCTCAGATGATGCAATCATAGCTCCAGTAATGGATGTTCACAACATCACCAATGTGAAATTTGAAGTTTTCACAGCAGTGATGATGATCTTCTGGATTTTGGTTCAGCGGACTGGTAGGTCCTCCAATACAACAGCATCCACACCAAGACACAGTTCACCATGGAGCCTTAATGGCCCATTCCTTCCTGACACCCAAGAAATTCAACTTATTCTCAGCACCATTTCAGACCTGAAGATGGAAAGAGTAAATTTCTTCTGAAACGTTGGCATCTACCAACCAGTCTACGTGGTGCGAAGCTCAAAAGAACATCAATGATAAACAATGTCTCAATCTGAATTATGTACCAGAACCCAATTTAATCCAGTTAACTGCACCCAAAAATGTTTTGTAAATCATGTTACAACAAAAATGCAATGCAGTGAGTACTGTGAATAAACTGCAGGTTATTAAGGGAATAGAGGCTGGAGTTTCACTTGCTGCAATTTTAAAAGAGTGGCATAGCAATACTAACTGTGTCTGACATTAAATTAAGAAAGGCTGAAGCAAGTTAATCCAGATTACATTTCTACCCTATATAGTCTAGATCAGCAAGGTTTCACTGTAACTATAAAAGGTAATAATGGATCAAAAGTCATATCCAACAACTCAGTGATGATATACCTGGCTCTTCTGCTATAATGTTGGGTGGTACAACAATATAATGGATGGAAGTAAGATATGAAAAGACAAGACTTTCTAAACTTATTGTTATCGTTATTCAACAAATTTTAAGCTACAGTCTACCACTGGGAGAAAATTCTTTCGCTGAATTACATATTAGGTATAACAATTTAAAATGCCGAAATACTTCAATAAATGTCACACTGAATATCAAATTATACAAACTGGATGAGATTTGAGATCACTTAAGAAGCAATGAATTGATGCATTTATTTTTGTACATGTAGTGTAGTGGCTGCTGTATCTGACTGCATAAGTGAACCAGCAAATAATGTACTGATATGTCAACAAATAAAGTTGAACTGAATTTTAAAAAGTTATAAGCAATTTTAAATTGAAACATCTGGCAATGGTCTACAAGAACTGAGGGAAATCACAAAATTCTCCTGGGATCTCCTGAATGTGGAGTGCTACTGTTATGTTCAGTGCCAGGCATATTTATGTTACAGAAATCTATCACACTTATTTGTATTCACAGTCTTTACCCAGTTACTTCACATGAATGCTAGGATTATACTTTGAAAAAGACTACAATGCTATTTTCCAAGTTTTTACATCCCATGATCAGTATCTATCTCATAATACACCACATAACCTGCCCATCAGAACAGTATACTGACTTCCTACACTATTAAATTCCTGGTGTTATACATTATGCCAGGTTCACACCTGTGCATTCTTCTGTACCATAAAACTATATTCCAAGGTTCATATGTGGATGAGACAGCATGCATTGCAGTGAACACCTACATTTGCTCTGGTAGCATAATGTAACATCCTATGATTGGGCATACCACAAACTGAACCGGAGTGAATGTTACAGAAAGATCATCCACACACGTGCATTTGACATTATGATGTGGCAGAATGTGTAAGTATTGACCTGTTTTAATAGATATCATTGAAAACAAGATTAAATGCTGAAAGTACACACTTCTCACACGTATCTTCTCTACAGAAAAGTGCACATTACCACCTGCTTGCCTTATTATATTCTAGAAGATGGCTTCCTAAAAAAATTGATAAAAGACTTTATCAGACTGAAGTATGCAACAGGAAACTGTACAAAAAAATTTCTTCACTTCACTATGCAACTGCCTCACTACACACATCTTCCAACATAGCTACCAGTGAGAGGAAGACCAACAGGTCAACACTGTGTCCTCAGACACCTACCAGTGCATTACCTATAAGATGTTTCAAACTCTCTCAACAGACATTTGATACACTGGCATGTATCCAGGACAACACACTTCTGTGAACCATAGACACATTTAAATTTAATTTTCTAAAGATTCATGCTATCAAAATAAGTGATCTATGTGAACAATCAGACAGTGAAATTAGGTATGGCGTATGGTTTGTAAACTCAGCTGGAACATACCAAGTGGCTATCACTTCTGATTGATCACTGTAAACAAATGTGTAGACCAGTGTGTGTGTGCGAGTATCTAGTGTGCATGAATTAGCAAATTAGCATAAACTTTGGTTACAAATGTGCTACTGCTGCCACCACCACAAAGAAAACAATGCATTACCGTTATCAAGATCAATTTGTTAATGCCTTTGGGACTTGCACATCTTCTGCTCTCCTGCTTGGCTGATAGGCATGACAGATCAGATCACCATCACAAGGATCAAATGACAATACCTTTGGGAAACCACCTTCTCCTTTGCTCTCCTTCTCATATTTTAATATTTTCCATCAAATCACAATTTTTAATAAGATAATAAAATATAAAATATTTAAAATATCATTTCACGTTCCGCATCGAATTTTCGATTTACAAATTGGAACGTCTTTTACGACATGTTTCGGTTATATTTAACCGTCCTCAGGTATAAATTTGATTGGTAAATTTAAAACTCGAATTACAATCCTTTACAATGTTATGCAGTTTATTGAAGATGTTCTTATCAGATTACCCTTATATATTAGAACGAAGGTAATTGTTTTTTATATATGGCGTGGTTCATCTGATGTTCAATATTAGTCGGTAATGAGTTGATAGAGACATGAAGTGTCTAGCGGAAGACATCTAGAAGTATTCGTTCTAATATATAAGGGTAATCTGATAAGAACATCTTCAATAAACTGCATAACATTGTAAAGGATTGTAATTCGAGTTTTAAATTTACCAATCAAATTTATACCTGAGGACGGTTAAATATAACCGAAACATGTCGTAAAAGACGTTCCAATTTGTAAATCGATCATTCGATGCGGAACGTGAAATAATATTTTAAATATTTTATATTTTATTATCTTATTAAAAATTGTGATTTGATGGAAAATATTAAAATATTAACCTAATTCACAATATGACGCAAATATACTATCTTCTTCTCATGTTAAAAGAAATGACTGTAACATCATGGCAATGAGTCCCTACAGCTACATGTCACCATCACAAAGATTAATTTGATCAAACCTTTGGGACATGTATATTTGTATACCTTTTATGGCCACTCATAGAAGGTAGCATGATCTCCGGTAAGGAGACAACAGATGGATGGACAAACAGGCAGAACATGCCTATAAATAATTCTTCCTTAATTATAATGTTCAAAGAATGCCCAAATCTTTAACACAGTTTCATATTATGTGGCATTTTCCAACAATGCAAATACTATATATATACCAAGGTCAGGCTTGATGAAGAGTCACATCTAGAAGAACACAATCACCTAGCTGCCATCTCCTTCATCCACAATGTTCAAGGAATTTGCAAAGGGAAATAAGGTGGAATGCCCTGCTCAACAATCCCAATCCTAATTCTCAATAACCAACCGAAAGGACAAAGACCTTTAAGGGGAGGTTGGGATCCTACTAATGAATTTAAGACGCCACTAAGCCTACATGGACATCTGTCTATCTAGTATTCAGGGAAAAAGCAAGATTTGTAAAAGACAGATTTTCATATAAGTCAGTAAAAAAAAGTAGTTACTAAGCTACTGAGCATGGCACAATTGTGGTTGCATAACTGTTGTAATGGTGAGACTTTAGTTATGAATCATCATCATACTTGTCTCAGGTATGTGGTAAATGGATTGAAACTCAAATATGCTAAAGTAAAGTCCATGATGAATTTGGATGGGATAAACAGGTTAAAGGTGGATAACTAGGGAAATACTGAGAGATGAGTTTAAGTTAAGGGTCTAGTAAACATACAGTTGTACATCATGTTTTATAATTAATCTTTTAATACATGTATGTATACACAGTAAAGCCATGTATCAGACTTATTAGATAATTCCCTACTCCTGGCTAATCCCTGCCTGACCTGAACTTCCTGAGAGAATTATATAGGTATAAGCTCAGCTGGAGATATGCTACTATAAAACCATGACATTTTCTGTGATGAAACTGTGCCAGTCTTCTTGTGTCCCTTGCACCATCATTTCTAGCTTCTGATATGCATTCATCCTCCAATTCAATGTCACTTTCATCTACACATAACATTAATTAATCACCAGAATCATCATCTATAACTTCTGCTATTTCACTTTCATCTAAATGCTTCACTTTTCCACACTTTGCTTCAGTCATCTTTATACAAAGCAACCACATGTTTACAAAGGAATAGTAAGCTGTTTTCTGAGAGCATCACCTGTAAATACAGAACAATCTCTCCTTCATCTGTAAAAGTATGACTGCATTTTGAGTGATATCTCTAGGAGATATGAGCAACTACATGTACATCAGCATCAAAACACCATGGGCATGTTTAGCGCAAGATAATGAAAACACTGACACATTTAGCAGTGAATGTGTTAACACAGATTCCAAATAGGTAGCTGAAATTTTCAGAGGTCAGGAATGGCATGTAGAAATATGCACACTGTATCTAGCCATCTTGAATACTGGACTTTTGGTGTGAGAATCCTATGCCACCAGAATGTCTGTATCACTATTTCTGCAAAACAGCTTGAACTGTTTGACTGACCACACTCTGAAACAAAGTAAGTATGAATTAAATCATAACATAATCTGTAATGTACAGTTCCTATAAATTTCACAAACCAGATGCCTCAGTTGGTAGTGCATGTTCAGAAATAATCATTATCTTCATTGTATGATTCAAAATTTCATCACTGGCAAGAATGACCAATTAATCATTTCCATGTTCTCATCTTATTAGCCTTCTTCATGATGGTGACCCTCTGTACTACTTATTCTAAAAACATAATTGACAACAGAACATGCACAAACAAACACATGCTACAATAAATATATACTGCTTATACACCAAGGGGGTCAATGTCCACCTCCTTTAGCATTGCTGTCCTCTAAAACATGAATGATCAGAAGTTCCATGAATTCTTCTGTCAGTTTGTCTACTTGCTATATTTGCTCATCTTCACAAATCACAAGATGCAGTCTTTCTACATGTCTGGCACAATGTGATACACTCTCTTGTCCATCAAGATTTGTATAGTAAAACTCCTATTATTTCTGGCTATGTGACCTTTCATCTCACTCCACCACCTTTCACCTGGCTTCACTGACTCCATAGCATTGCTATAGGATTCAGCAAGCAGTGATACAGGGGAGGTCTCAGAAATTCCCTTTCCTCCACTACAGACAGTGTCATCACTATCAGAAAGTACCCAAAATTTATTCTTAGATACTTAAGCTGAAGAAACTTCAGCAGCCAATTTAACATGCTTTAAGAAAAGTTGGGCAGTTGTTCATCAGTGTTCACTTCAAATAAACCTGTGTCTAACACAGATCTTATAGCATAAAAAGAACTGGTATATTTATAAGTGTGTCACTAGAAGTCACTGAAGATGGATGGGGTAGGGGAACTTCATGCTACACTCTATCCCAAAAACATCAGTCAATTTACCTGCACTACAGGCAAATGAAATCAGACATAAATGATTCTACATCTTCAGAATCAGTACTACTCTTACTGTCACCATCACTGCTGTCTTTGTCACTATGGCCAGTGTCACCCAAATTAATTATGAAGTTGTCTCATTACATCCATTTAATTTCTACCCTCTGGTCTACTGACCACTTCTCACATAGCAGAAGAACATGAAATATTTCATCACACAGTATAATATAAAAAATTTGCAAATTAACTGAAATACAGAACCTAAGAAAAGGTAAATGCATGCACACAAAAGCCACCATGAAAAATATATGCATCATACAATATCTTCACAAATTGATACTGATTCTACAATTTGAAAACACTTAAAGAAAGAAAATAAACTATATGATGCTTTTACTTCCCAACTATTTTATAGGCACAATTAATAGAGGCAAGAGACAAAGTTAAACATGGGATCAGCATAGTCTTACAATT